TTGCCGGTGCAAGAATCTAGCATAATCCAACGCTTATACATAAGCAAGGATCGCTACTATATCCGCTAAGCATAGATGAAAAAATCCCGGTGGACGGAGGAGGCAGCTTCGAATGCACGGCTAGGAAACGAAAGTTGCCCGTTTACTGGTCCAATTTATTTAAGTGCACGACTATTTGGCTGCATTAATGCAAAGCGCTTTTGAGCAATCCGGAAAATCGCTTCAGATTCAACTGAACGAGTTTATTGGGTGTACACCGCCTTCTGTCAGATGAAGAGCGACCCCTGACAAGCACACTCCGCGTCTTTACGGACGTAGACTTAAGAACCTCTTTTAAAGTACCACAGCAATAAATATTTGCAGATTTTCAACAAATAAGTTAGCACAATTTATAACACATCATTACGATTTTGTCTGCCCAATTTAACCGAAAAATCAATTTAGAATGTCTACTCAGAGTGGCAGAAAAGGACAAAACAAACGAACGTTGCAAGCGAAGCTAGAATAGGAAGAGCCGTACATTTATGCTAACAAAAAACACGAAAACATGTTTAAGCGCGATGACGATTATAAATCTGAGGAAATTTGGTTCCAAAGAGTTCATGGTGAACAAATCAAGAGTTCGTTAAACTGGCATTGGAGTTTACAACAAACGAGGAATCAACCGTAACAAAACAGTGCATCGAACTGCTAAAAGATGGAACTAAAATTCGGACAAGAAACGCTTCCCGTCAACATTTACAAATCTTCCACACATTAAGACAAATAACGCTATAATACCTAGTCTCACATGCGTGTTTGAAGGGATTGAGTTCACAGACATCCAAGTGCAACACATTACTTCACTGGTCCTTACGGGAACCACCCTTCGCAAGGTGAACATTTTGGGAAAATTTGAGTACTAATTTCTACTCCAAGCAATAAACAAATCGGGAAAATGGCACGGCGAACTTATGAGAAAAGCGATTAAATTTGCTTATTATAAAAATTTGAGTTAGCGGCTAATAGCACAAAGATAAATTCGCTCGACCACAGCGAAGAATGGATTTTTAACCAGAGCTCCTTCTGCAGGGTAATGGTAAATTAGAGGTGATGGCAAAAGGCTGCTTTTGACACAAAATAAACATACATTGATCAATCTGCCTGAAGTCACCATGAACCGCTAAGAGAACAAGTGACTTAAAGTAGCGAAAAGCCCAAGCCGCGAATAGGTGCGATCCTGAAAAGGCAAATAACAGCGTTACTGTGGTATGGGGAGAGTAAGAAAAACGAGGCCTCGTGATTCTTAGACGATGCCGAATGTTGGAGAAGAAGGGATTTTAGAAATACGATGAAAACGGATGTATTTCCTATGGTGAAACAGGACACTTGAGGTACATGAGAAGAGTAAGTTTGAGTCTTGGGGCACTACAGGCACAAGGTTAGGGAAGAACCACAGGGACTCAGAACAGCAAAACGACCATTACACTTCCTACGATGGACACAGCTAGCCAGCAAAGATGACGAATGTGTAGGGAAACGGAAGTAAAACATACAAATCAGCCTGAGGCGTTGATCGCTGTTTACCACAAAACCCAGAAACCATAGCGAATTCAATAATTTTTTCAATGTCGTGTTTAAGGTGATATGAAAAAAAGTAGTGTAAAATGACTAAGAGTCTACACGTCTCGTTTTGATTCGTGCACCCCTTGATGGAAGGGAAATTACAACCGAATTTTAGACCTTTTCATGTTGAATCAGTGGATACCAAATAGCCACAAGGAACATGAGTGGAATAGTTAACTCTGGTGTAATTGTCTTCATTAAACCTTTGCGTTCTAAAGGATAACGGTAGCACCTTGTTGTGCATGACCGGTTTAAACGTATTAAGGTAACACCTGCCTGTTTCTCATCCCTCAAGTGCTAGCGTCACGTCCGTGCAATTATCAAAGTTAAATCCAAGCTCAAGGACTAAAAATCCCTTTGAAACGATGGTGAAGAGCAGGCTTTTGGCAGCCTTCCACATGAACCTTTTGAGGAGACAGGAAAGTTTCGACCCGTGAATTCTATGTTTTGGTGGAAATCATGATAACCACAAACATGCTTCAAACGTGGCGACCTATTTGGACAAAATCATCTTTTTCTGGATACTTTTAATGATGGCTTTTTGATTCCCAATAAGATTAAAACGATTTCGTTAGCCGCCGAAGGACCTGTTGTGGTTGGTGAAATAGCTGTGCCACAAAAACCATATTTCGAGAAATGGAGACATACAATACGACGGATGCACAGGTCGACTGGAAGTTCTTCAACCCTAAATTTCGATCGCAACAGTATCGATGCAAGAATGAATGGGAATTAGAACAAGTTCAGATGAACGGTGTTCAACTTGGAAAGAAAGCCCAGTTGACAAAATGGCAGCGACGATACAAGAATCGACGGAAAGTTGTGTGGCAAACTTGTTTATTAGATACACAAGGACGATTGGGGAGAGGATGACATGGTCACAATGGGGATTAAAACTTACATTGCACATAGTACTTTCTTCTGCCGAATAAGGGACACGATCAAACATCGGTTGGATCAAAAGACATTGGAATTTCTAAAAAAAAGGAAAAGGGATCGGCGAGTGAGTCAGAGGACAGATTTACTACGTCGTAAGCTACTTTTAAACGTGAAACTAAGGTGCATGGTTGCCTGTCCAACAAGTGTCCACATTTCTAAGGTGTTGATAATCAATTTATTTGGTCAACTCCGTCAACGTAACCTTCATTTGAACATATTCCTGTCTTGTAAAACAGTTGTCCCCATTCGTGTGAAAAAAGTACATCAACTGGAATCAGTCTAACACACTAGATTCACCAGTTTAGCAGTAAATAGATGTACATTTCAAAACTACATGACTATCAGCCCGGTTAACAAAGATGTTCTGATCGACATTTCGTATTTAGCGGTTTATGAAACGAAGCGAAGCAGATTCTAGTAATTGAGATGGAACACAAAATGCGAATTCAACACGTCTCCAATTTGCCAACAAGGCGTAGGAAGGACGTTTAACAGTTGTTAAGACTAACGCTGTCAAACAACCACAACATCACAAGACAGCTACTAAAAGTGGATGTCCAAAAACACACGAAAAGCCGAATTGACACTGTTTGTTAGACATGTTTGAATTCAAATGCACAATAATTCGGAAGAAGCCAATGTATTCAGGGTTTGATTATCAGAGGTACGGAATGCTTTGACAGATTGTGGTTTTGTAGTACCAAAAGTGGATGTGCAGAAGCAGGAATCGTGAGGAGCAGATTAATGAAGAGCCGAGAGAAATGCGGAAAAAAACCCTACCTATTAGTCAATGTATCCACGGGTTTAAAGAAATGTGCTAGATTAAGATCGATTCGGTTCGTATGACAATCCATGTTGTTTGAAAGTCGGGTCGTGTAATAAGACAATCAGGCTAAGCACAGAGTAGAAACTCGAAAACGACCAAGCTGGAGTGCATAACGCAAATTCGGGTACAGAGTGAAATCAAAAAGCTACGACGAGAATGGCTAGTTTGTAAGCGGACGGGTGGACGTGCTGCTGTAAAATCAAAGCAATCAGCCCGTTTACCTAATGCCTACTTTAATTGCTTCTACAATCACTTAACGCATACTAAACCGTACCTACACGATTTACTCGAAATTACCTACTCACTTTTTACCTAATTATCACTAACCACACTTTCTACCGGATTAGGGAACGATTATCTTTCTCAGGATACCAGAAAACATTATCACAACATTGCCGTCATTACTTAAAATATCGGTTGAGTCAATGGCGCTACTTAGTTAACACGTCAATGAGTAAGGCACGACGCTCACACCGTCCCAGGATTTGCGTTATTCAAAGTTACACTTTGAAGAAGACAGCCAACTTGCGCGCCGCAATGAAAAAAACCTTAAATGCCTCCCGACCCTTAAGTAACTAAAATACCTCCGAACCTCAAGTGCCTGACGGCTGTACAGTTGGAAAATTAATGATTTGTACACCACTAGGTGGACTTTAACCCGCTCCATACCTAGGCGCCCACATCCGTTAAAGGCGATAACAATTACAAATTTTGCTAAAGGGGAAAACAATTGCCGTTAATCCGCATGCCATTTTGGAGTAATGCGAACTCCCGTGAGGTCTACCTCATAAGGACTAAAGGTTTCCTTGTATTGCACACATCAACCCATCGAATGGCCAAGCGCACAGCACACTAATTAGAAGGCGTCAAAAACGGGATGTAAAGGCTTCGTCGCCTAATTTTAGAGGATCATTGCAAAAGCACACAGCGCAGAAACACGATGTCCTAGCAATGAGTCCGAGGGACTTTTTGCTGAAAAATTGCCATGAATGCTAAGTTGATTGCCGTAAAATAACTCCCATACCCCCTTTTCTGCGATGACACTAAACATGAAAAGCACCAGCGGTTTTGGTACCGCATACGCTAAAAACGAACAACTGCAAAGTTACAGTATCTACCTTCGCTTAAGGTGAGTAATCATGTGAAATTGCAGCGTCAACACAGGACCGCATTCCTACTTTGATGTGACTGCCGCCAAGTTGAAAGCAGACCTGATGTACGGATTTCAACTAACTTGGACTACTTTCCGATGCACTTTAACGACCTCTGACACAAACTCAAATATAAACGCGCTGCAGCCGGTCGTTTCTACCAAGTTTGATTCCTGTGAGGAGCCTTTATGCAGTATCGTAATTCATCAAGTAAATTCCTGATTCAAAAATGCACAATGTCTTCAAATAATGCTGCATTTTACCGTCCAAACGGGCATTAAGTGACGCTTAGGAACCAGAAATACCTAATAATTTTAAACGGACGTGGTACTATCTTGTGAAAATGCAAACTGAGCTGGTGATTTCCAAATACATTTAACGCACATACAGTCTCCATTTCGATAAAAGCAAATAGTGATGAGAATTCGGCGGTGATTAAGGGCATAGTAGTAAATTTAACAACAAATGTTCCTCCACCTTTAGACCCCCAGGAGGTCATACAGGTCTTCATCCTCTGTCGAACCCACTACAATCTGCTGAGCCTGAGGCATTTTAGCCCGTCTCTTTTGTTGGATTTGCTCTCGTATTGCTAACAATTCTGCGGGAGGTGGAGAGAGAGGAGCTGGCGCTGGGGTGGCAACACCCATCATCTGGTTGATCCGCGTATCTAAATCAATCTGTGGTGCTGGTGGTGGAGGGGGGACTCTCTTGGAGACCAACAAGCGGTTAGCCACTTCGTCTACACGAGACATCACACTTGCAGTTTCGTCTTCAGTTGCTTTCAGTGTGGGAGCAGGTGGCTGAAGACCCGACGGAATCGGGCGTTGGTGTCCTTGGGAATTTGGGTTGGTGCTGCGTTCAGCATTCAGGCGCGCATCTGTAGCTGCGAGGCGAGCAAGTAAGAGATTCGCCTGGGCGTCGAGCTCTGCTCGCAGTTCCTCAACAGAGAACTTCTTCGTTTGAGGATTGGGTGTTACATCAACGGATGGATCCTGAGACGGTGGAGTGGAGGATGGTGGTGGTGTGATGGTCGGATGAGTGACAGGGGCGGCTTGTGGCTTCACTTGGCGGACTCGCTCAGCCACGATAGCCTTAGCCTTTTCAATCTAAAAACGGACAAGTGATTAGGTACGCCGCTTCGCCAAATACTTATACAAATCCAACTTTGATGTAACGGGATGATATGTTACAATAAAGGCATAAGACTTCAACATGCACGTGGGAGATCACCAATAACACGAGTATGTCTGTACTTACTTCCTGCTTTGTGGCAGCGGCTTGAATTTTTTGAAAATGAGCCAGAGTTTGATGAGCTTTATCACGAACATCAGCGGACAATTTGTAACGACGACACTAAAAGGAAATAAAAGAATAGTGCAACTGAAGTCCATAACCTCAAAGCACCTAAATTCCTAACAGATTTTCGTACTTTCGAATAAGCAAAGTGTGAAGTGTCAGTGGGATCGCAGTCTTGACGCTTCACATAGCAGTTAACAACTCGGCGAAAAAACTACCCACCTTTTTCACACAGTCCGTCAACTCCCAAGCCTGAGTGAGTTGAAGAAGTGACACCTTCATCTGGCAGATTTGATCAAACACATTAACGGCAGCGGTGAAGTTTTCTTGGCCACGCACAAGACTTGACTTCAACTGCAGACTAAGATTTTTGAGCAGTTGGACCGGATCGGCTGTTAGTGGATTGAACCATAAGTTATGCTTATTTCATACGATTACAAAATAAAAAAAAACAACTACGGTTTTGTCCAGCAAACGTCTGGGTTAAATTTGGTGACCTTGAAGTATTATAAACCCTGTTTGTGACAAGTGACTTTTGTCCACATGAAGAGGCAGGAATTAAAACAATACAACTTCGACGACAGTTTCTACAAGTTGCGATTTACTGGTATGTAAATTGCATCTAACATTCACACAATCGAATTGCATAGACTATCAGAGGCACGTGGGGCGACGAAAATGCCTAAACGCGTCAAGGGTCACCCATAATCAATTTAAGCATAACAAAGACTAAAGTTTTACCAAGAAATGATGGTGAGTTTGTAGTGCAAATGAATGAAAACTCACGCGAGGACTCGGGTGCAGAGGGGCTTTTCCCGGATGACAAGCTAAAGGTGTTAAAAGTGTTGGTAATTATGCGGAGTCAGGTTTGTGACACGACTAAAGAAAATTCTCGTGTACACGGGAGAGGGCGTTAATCCGAATTTTTGTTCTTTCCCCCCTTCGCCACAGAATGGCGACGCCGTCTTAGGACTAGATGAGAAATAACCTTGAAATGCTTAAGTAGTTCGAGTAGCGGCAAACCTTGGAGCAAAACACTAGCCAAGTAATGCATGACGTCGGGAAAGCAACTGCATTGAAGAAGTTTTACTGGACAGTTATCGTAAATAAATATGAAAGTACGGAACAAATAATGAATTTGTCAACGTACTGGGCACGTCTTTCTTCAACGTCTGGTTCCGATGGCTTGATTTCATCGGTATAGCTTTCACTCGGTGAAGGGGTTCTACGATTTAGAAGTGGTAACATAATGTTTGAGTTAATAAGGGACTAAAAGGGATTACTTCCTGGTCAAATAAACCTAGTTTACAAAGTAATGCGAAATACACCGTTCGGGGTATAGAACCCTCTGATAGCATACAGCGGGTGGTTAAAGATTTGCAAATTTAGACTGCCATATGGAGTCCTGCGAGGTGAAAGAAGCGGAAGGAGCTAATTTGAGCATTCGTTATGGAAAAGACATTTACTTTCGAAGTGCAATTTCTTGTCCAACTAAAACACGTGTTTTTAGAAACAGGGGACGCGGGGTAAAGGAATGATACGAAATTTCATTTCTACAGGGGTGTGGGCTTGAAATCACCGTCAAAAATGTTGACGAAGACTCACTTTTGGGTGGTTGGTTGGGATCCTTCAGTTGACTTGGAGTCCAAGTCGGTTGTGTCTTTGCCAGAAGTAAGTTTTGCATACTTGGAGCTTGAGAAAAAAATATTTCGGGCTAAGTGTTAAATACCATGAGTGGAGAAATTTAACGACAATAGAATATTTAGTCACTCGGAAGGTTCACTTTAAAACCACTCGTCCAAAAAAGTACTGGAACTTAAACATCAGAACTCAAACGACCTGGGACCCTAGACAGGCGGAAAAGTGAGATAACGTTCTAGTCATTTTGGAAATAATTTCCACAGCACATGGAGGTATGTCGACGGCCTGGTTGGTTTCGATCATAGGCTAGACTAATTGGAATAAATAACTACAACATTCTGGGAGTTTTTAAGCTACCATTCTTAACATTAAGACCAATATAATTGGCGGAGGGAAAAACGAAAGAATTAACAAAGAAGAGCCAAGAGATCAGAAACGACAAAAAAACACATTAGCCGAGTGTGGTGGTGATAGATCATGAAATGAGTTGGTTGTCAGTGAATTAAAGTATGCAAAAGCAGTTACTAGAAACAAAAAGATTTAATCATTCGGAGCTATACCTAGCATGAAATCAGGTGAGCAGGAACACAAGATAGGCGAATGGTGCAAAACAACATAACCTTACCGAGATTCACCATCGGTACCGTGACTGCCAACGTGATGGGATTTTAACTTCCTCTTCCTAGGTAAAGAATGTCTCTCCGTAATCTCAGGAGTAGTGCCCGTACTGCCATTTGTAGACTGTTCCTTCGGTGAAGGGGACTGAAATTTTGTAAATGAACCATGGTCGGAGCCGCCATCTGTTTGATTGGGTGAAGTGGGGTCTGTTTGGGAAGCCAGTGTGCCTTCACTCTCATCTGTAATTGTCTTCGCTCCTGTCGGCTTCGAAGACAACTGGATGAGAGAGGTGTCCTGCTGAGAATTGGTGTCAACAGGCGACGGAGAGAAATCCACCTGTTCTGATGCCGTACTTTCCAAGTGAGTAAGGCAAAAAGAATCAACGTCGGGATCGGATATTGTGTCAGTGGGTTCGGTGCTAGGAAATCCTACTGTCTCATCTCGCACCTCTTTGATGGGACACACGGGACTACTTCCATCGGCGTCCTCGGTTTGGTGTTTGGCAGTGCCTAATTTCAAGGGAATAACAATTGGCTGGATTCAAAACGAAAAGACGATGCATTTAGCGTATAAACACATCCTCTGGTCTCAACTAACCCGAAACGACAACCTCATCTTCATCAGACATTTGCATTTTCTGACGTCTAATCTCTTCAACTTTGGCCCGTCGCTTAGCTTCAACTTTAGCCAGATACTTGGCGGCGCGCTTTGCTTCTTTCTTTTCCTGTCTTCGCTGCTCTCGTCTTTTCACTTTAAGATCTCCCTCAGTTACCTGTGCACGATCGGGGGTCACTGTATCCTCATCTTTTTCAACTCGTTGCTGCAGTTGTTTTTTGGCTGCCCGCTTCTCCGCTTTACGAATGGCCTTTTCCTCCTCTTTACGACGCCTGAACAAATAAATATTACTAGTAAGTGAAGGGGTGGGGAACGGTTCGAAGCGGAATACTCAAAGTTGGCGCACTACGAAGACTAAGTTTAGAATGACTGTAAAGCAGCAGACCCTAAAGGACAGCACAGGTCGAAAGTCATGTACAGTGGTCTCATTCTACCTCGGATCGGTCCAACCATCATTGGTTAAATGTACTAGTTTTCCGATAATATTGGCGGGGCTGGTTACTAATTACACAAATAGATGAGTCTTTGGTTCCCAGACAATCTTTCAGCTAGTTTACTCAGTTCAAAACTCATTTAGGGTACTTTGCAACAGATATTTACGGCTTCAAGGACAGTTGAACGCTTTTCTCATTAATGGATCCGCCGCCTTTACGGTAAAATTGGCAGCGATGATACCGCACAGTTGACCTTAGACACTACGAGCATTCGCACAGTCACGTCTGAGGTAGACAAGTTATCAGATGTTAGACCGACAATCCACTACCACCATAGAATAGTCCAGGTATTAGCTTGCTATTCTAGGAAAGTTGACCGAAGTAAAATTGAAATTTTTGAACTGGGTGTGAACACGAGTCGAACAACCCAGGACGAGTCACTGAAGCTCATTCATACAGGCTTTAATAAAGGGGCTGAGTGGGAGGTTAATACATTTTGTTTAATTAACGACGAAAAGGTTCCAAATGTAGTGGCAAAATAAGGGGGTAGATATAATACTATTCCGCATCAATGTGTTTTGGCTCATGATTGCATTATTCCAAAAAGCTGCCATGTAGACAAAGTTATAGCACACACACAAACACTTGCTCACGAATAATCTAAAAGTTTGTCTACACATACACAGAAGCACAAGTGATTAGATATTTTGGGGAAACGCACTTTCCTTCTATGTCAACCGTACTCGAAGAATGATAGACGCTAGCTTGTTAAGATATGCATATTCAGTTTAGCATAGCAAGGGAATAAGTAACGCTAATGCAGGACATGATTAATTTTTAGCATAGTACCTATCCTGTTCATTGAGCGTTCCCACATGAAATCACCCTGTAAATGCTTATGCATGAATTCACCCCAACTACATAGCGCCACTAAGTCACCGAAAGAATTAAGACTGTGAACTGATCAAATACCTGCATCAATGAAGTTAAATTGTGTTGAAAATTGCTTTTACATGTACTTTAAAAGGGAAAAAGTGACTACTTTTCAGATAGATAGCGGAAGCGCAAAAAGTAATATGTTGCCTAACTCAAATAGACTGCTAACTATAAGGTGATTCAAATCTTATTGCGATAAAGCAATACTCTACGGGAACAAATCAAAACAGAGATAAATAATAAAAAAATGAAAATCGTAACTCATGAAACAACCACGGCTTTTTGCGCCCATGACCAAGCAGGCTGGGACGGTTAAATAGATAATGGATAAATATCCCAAATAAGACAATGAAAACACTCAAAGGAAAAGTTAACTCACATATTTTCAAGTTCAGCTATCTGTGCAGCTATTTTGCTCTTTCGTTCCGCTTCTGCTCGTTCCCATGCATCTAGTGGATCTTCTTCGTTATCACTAAAATGGGACACATCATAACCTTCTTGCCTGCTGCATAAAAATTAAGGCAGATAAAGTTCTCAGAATGCATACCTTAACGACGACATACTGCTCAAGTTGTCCAGGCGGCCGTCGTCTGAACCAGATTGTTTTTCGGCACAAATATTTGGCTTCCGGGATGCAACGCGATTAGATGCATGAGGTTTTCCTGAAATATTTAGGAAAAGTTGACCGATCCAAGCAACGCGGTCGACTAAAAAGAGGAAAATAATACCCACCATGACCTTTATCATTTTTTGCTGATCTTCCCCCAAAGGATTTCTTTGAAGACGCTAATTTACCGGAACTGCAATCACCACGAAATTTCAGCCCCCTAGGGTGTCTCGGATCCGATACAAAAGATTCGTCTCCCTCAACATTACTCTCCATAAACTCTGACCCCGCCTCAACTGCCGGCGAAAGAGCCTTTCTTTCGGTCTCGGTCGCAACAATTAACGATCCGGAATCTTCTGAGAGAGGAGCGCTATAATTATCGAGAGAACCGCTGCTGTGTCGACTACGAACTGTGTCATGATCGACCACACGCCCCTTTTGTTCACCTAAACGAACGCTACAGTAAGTTTTTGTGGGCTTACCTGTGCTTGGGTAAACCAGTTCGAGGAAGGACGCAGCGTCAGGATCCTTGCCCAGTAGCAAAACATCTGGGTTAGCATCGATTTCTTCCATAGCGGCTTTTGCACCTTTAACATTTCCGTACCTGTCTCTATTTTTTTCGAAACTAACTACGGCTTTAATAGGAACAAATGACCTAAGGCAAAATATGACCGGTTATTTATCAACATACACTTGATGGGTGCCGTAAAAAAATATAGGTATCTTTCCTTTGGGCACATGTACGTACTCCGGAATTGGATTCACCTATTGTAAAAAGGCCAATAGGAAAACCAAGCTTATCGTACCCTGGCGGGCCAGTAGGGATATCCCTTTATCTTCGCGAACACTTTATCACCAACCTGAAACGACATTTCAGCTGCTTTAAATGTTTCACAGTGGTCGATTCAAACAAAAATCGGGTCAATGAATTTGGAAATCTGTGTCTGAAAAAAAACCTAATACATTAGAACAGTGAACGAAGGTAGATAATATGTGCTTTTTACGTTGAAGATGACTTGGTTCAGAAAGCACACAGGACATGAAAGGAAAATTCTTATTGAATGTCAGTTATCCTTCATCGGATATTTCAGTGCAGGAATTTTTTTATTTCACCACAGATGACTGAAAAAATCATACTCTTCATATATGTAATGTTAAGTAGAGAAGTTTACTTGAATGTTTTATAAATTAGGCTGATTATTTTAATATTTGTTTATTGAATCTGTTTTGTCGTAACTTATAGCGCGACTTCATGCTCAGATTTTTTTCTATATTATTTTTTTAAGCAGCTTAACTGCTAAATTTGATTGGTATCTTGTCTATTTGGCGCACACTCTACTTGCAAGTAATTGACACAATAAATACGCATTCGTGTTCAAGGAAGTCTTACCTGCTTAACCTAGTAAAAGAACTTTGATGGTTGCCACCAACCCACTACCCGTCGTACGCGATATTTACACAAATGTCTTAGATTTGATTCTTAAACTTCCTTGAGGCTACCCAATGCTTCATTTATGAATTTATTCAATAGGATTTATTTTGACTGAAATCCAAGCGGACGCCATAGTTGATTCTATAACTGCCTCCTATTGCTTCACAGATATCTTATCCCTCGAGTTTATCTTCTGACAATTTCTAAAGGCAATTTTTAATGTCTTCCTAAAGATGGGCTTTTTTGTCATTCAACGAATTGTTTTACAAAACCATATGCATGTGCGCCCTAGTGGGTTTTCCTTACTCTAACCCGCACCATTCGTCTCACGTACACCGGTCTGGCCTATTCTTTGTCTTTCTCTTCTCTCCTTCAATCTCGTCTTTCTTAAGGCATGCCCATGAGTCTTAGGGCAACGCCGACCTTCCTCACAGCCATCCCTTTCCTCCTCCAGCTCTAACTCTTCCTAAGGCCCGGCCCTCTGAATTTGTATGCGGTAGTCTGGAATACATCCAACCCTGATGGTGCGGCTGTCTAAGAGGGACGGGCTAACAGTTATCTACCTATTTAGGTCCCCTCTCATCGGGCGCGTTACATCACTACCACTCCTTTAGGTTTGCAGTCATTTGAGTGACATTTGGTCTTGCGTTGTCATGGTGATAGTTGATGCACCAGCTATAATTTGGCCACCCTTTTAAAACTACTCCTTCGCTTCTTGCCACTTCATGACTGCGTTCCGCAGATTCTGTCAAAGGCCTCTTTTTTACTTTTATGTTGTCATTTTGCGCAAATTTTACAGATTAAATCAAAGTCACAACTTTGAAGCCATCCGAAATGCCAGGTCTCACTCAAGCACAAGCATTAACCAAATAAACAACTCGAGTATATTGTCACAGTTTCACCAACCACCCCGTTTTTAAACTGATGTTGCGTGACTTACCATTTTTCACTTTAAATGTCGATCGATGCATTTTGACAACCACCAGGTAATAAATGGATTATTAAGGAAACAGGCATACAGTAAAAGTGCATGTTTTGCCAACTTTAGAACAAACCTCTCAATCACAAATAAACTTTCGAGCAGAGATCTCCAACTTAGTATCTTAGCGACCTTCAAAAATGAACGTTAGTTACAACACTATAGAGTACTTTAGCAAGTAGTAAATATTTTTTGCAACTCAAATTTATGATACCACGCAAACATTGTGTAACCCCAGAGCGAAATTTGCATGTTTTTTTTGACTATCAATTTTAGTTGTGCCATTTTTCTCTTTCATTGTAGCGATTTTTTTATAAATTAAAGCAGTTTAAATTTAGGAATGTTGGACGGTTACTTTCTGCCGGAATGGAATTTCCTGCTATTCAGTAAGGTCTGTCAAGCACCGTGTCCTCGTTTTACTTTTTTTTGCATTCAAATCTATTAAGCGCATTAGAAGCATTACTTATTTAACTGACATTTAATAGTCCTGTATATTTTGCACTAATTTGATAGAACAATGTACATGTATTTGTAAATCTATATGCCGACTATTATTTGCATAAAAATTTAAATTATCCTACCACAATTCTTCCGTTCACACAGCAGCTGAATAAGCCAAATTATCATAAGCTAAAAGTTCACGTAACAGAGCGATACAAACAATACCCCCGACTGGCTATGTTTGAAAAATTCGTGTCATCACTTGTCATAGTCTGGAGCATGTGAAAATTTAATCGGAAAATTACTGTTTTTGTTTACTTTTGGAGAACGTGGTGAGGACTGTATCAAAATCATTCACCAGGTTTCCGCGACTCTCATCATCATACTTAGTACAGGATGGGGGATGTGCTCTAGTCTTTCCTTCATCAACTTTCCGCTTCTCCTTAAGGTTGGAAGGGTTTTCTCGCCTAGTGGCCAATTTCGAGCCACCAGGTGGGGGAGCGGTGTAGTTCGAAGCCGGGTCGAGTTGTAGGAACGCCTTGCACAGGTACGACCCCATGTCCTCGAGGATGCAGGGGGATATCTGGTGACCTGCTCCATTATCGTCACTGGCATTTGCATAACCCCAGCAGTTGCGTGTAGTGCCGCAGTAAGTGGCCTCCAGAGTGTAGCTTCGCATGACCCCGAATTGCCGCCAGACAACCACACGGCCAGTTGTTTCCTTAACACGACAAACGGAGTAGCTACAAGAAGAATAATAGATCCAGGCAATATTATTAACAATTACCGGTAGATTAGACAAAACGTTAGATTGAGTTTGAAAAATGGAAAAAAAGTGCAGACATGGAGGAAGATGGGCACATGATACCTCGAATGATTTCTTCCAATTTACTATTTAGTTATTGATGGCTATGTAGCTTAGCTCCTAGTCGTATTAATTTTACTACTAGTTTAGTGGTTGACTACAATGAGCCTCAAAGAGAAGTAATTCAAGAAGAAACCGAGGAATCTAGGGGGTAAAAGGAGGCGAAGACGAAGGACAGTAAAGGTTTGGTGCATACTCGCTAGCGTGTTTTGAGAATGGAAGTGCGACGTCGTGGAGGATTTCGGCAAGATCAAGGAATGATTCATCCACACGATCAGCACCACGAAAGACCGGGTTGCGCGCATCAGACGCCCTCCAGGAGAGTCGTGGATCACATCCATAGACAAATATGTCCTTCATTCGTGAGTGCCCATGTAAGTCTATGTAAATCTGCATAAAAATAAGGAAGATGGAAGAGGCTAGCAATAATTTGTCTGAAAGTCAAATCCATAGCAATCTAAGTGCTCAGAAAACCACTATTTTCCATAAGACTAACTTGCGCGTTTTCACAATATCGTGAATTCCAGAACTTCTAAAAAAACAACATCTTCTAGACATATGCCAATGAATTTGACTTAACTTTAACTTAAGTGGTTTAAAACTTGTTTTTTTTTTGTATTTTGTACGTGCAAGCCAGGAGGTCGGCAAGCGTAAGTGACTTGGTCGGATTTTTTAAGATTTACAGCCACACCGGCAAAGTGTAGCATCAAATAACAAAAGTATTATATAACTACACAACATTTGCTCCGGTGACCTTTTACAGAATTTTCAAATTAATCTAAATAATTTGCATGTTTTTCAGTTGAGTTAGATAGTCTTTTGAGCTAATAGCTTTGATACGGTAATGTGATTGAAAGTGACTTGAATTTCGCCTTAAAAATGCTGAAAATTCAGAAGGAGTCTGTATATTTACATATGGTGCATTGTCCAACTCCGATAGCAAATTGATGAGACATTTCGTGTGGAAGATTGTCGGATGCATGATGTCTGAGGGGTTCAGCCATTGGCGATTCAAGTCTTTTGCGGCCATCGAACATCGGTGACTACAAATCAGAGCAGAAAAAAAATGCATCGAGTGTCTAGACTGTTTGTTTGCTTCATTAAAACACAAATAAAAATCCAGTGCTTAGAATGTCACTGAACCCCAACAGATGATAATGACGGCGCCAACGCTAAATCGCAAGGAGGTGGCGCAACCGTATTTCGGATAAGTTTCACAGTTATTTACTGTAGTAGGCTTTAGTTTTCGATTCGACGCTTGATATTAGACATGCAAATTAACAAATAGGAATTGAAGTAGAAGTAGAATAAGATCTGATCAGTCTTATTGAATCAAAACCACCACCACGCTTTGCACATGATCCGACTCAGTGCTTATTCATCCCTTTAACTTTCCGGTGACCTCAATGTTTATAGTGAATTATCTCACTTTACGTCTATGCGTACATAGCTTTGAGCCACAATGAATCCCAATGGCCGCACTCCATTGTCACGAGCTCCTTCCTGCTTATTTCTACGACATTTAAATATTCAAGAACAAATACGACCGAAACAGATGCTTTAGGTACGTTGGTAAACCGTTGAGTCGTCATCTTCTTCAAAATGCTCGACGTACCTGCGACTCGTGGATTCAAGTAACGCAGTTGGGTCTCAACGAGGGCATTTAAAAGAGCTTACGGTTTAAAGAAGGGGTAATCCAATGACGGAAATAAAACCAACGAACCCTGACTTATTATCGAGTAGGCACGGACAACTTCTGTATCAGGCTTGATGGTGATCACCGGAACTCAAATCCGACATTTGACCACATTTGCCAGGTTAGAAATATTATTTTAGGATGAAAAGAAAGCGGTAGTTTTAGAATTGATGGTGAGATTGGATAGGTGAAGAGAAGGCATATTATAATTGTCAAAAGTCGACAGATTCAAAACTATGGTTTACTGCTGAAGCTCAGATACCCTTTTAAGTTTCACAAACACATAAGCCGATGTGACGAAGTAGAAATCGGCGCGATCGTACCGGACACAAGCTACACTCATTTTCTGACAAGACTTCAAACAGGCTATTAAGTCAATGAGAGACGGAACGTTGGTCAAACTCACTTTCCACAAATTACGCCATCAGGATTAAGCGACGGTACCACCTTGAATACATACATGCGACGAAGATTAGCAATTTCCTCATCGTAGGGATCCGTCAGGCGTTCCAGGAGGCCGCGCATCACCCAACTGGAGTTTGACTCTCCCGGGTGTACCCGCGCAGTCACAAATATGTAGGGTCGTCGAGACTCTTTTATTGAAAATGCTGCGAAGAGAATTAAACACTACGAGTAGGCTGATGGAAAAAAAACTTACTAACACTCGAGAGATCGTTTGACGTTTGAAATATCGGCACTACTGATGACTCCTTGTAGTAGACAGAAGACAAATTATACTCGAAGCTTGGTCTCTTTTAAGAACGGTGTTAAAAAGAATTCAGTTCAGTAGGGTCGCCAACTTCTCGAAATGCAAGAGGAAATTACTGGAGCCTGGCTATTGTATCTTAGGTAATAGATTGGGCTACTATTGGAGTAAGTAGATGCTTGATAGCGCAGCTTGAAAAGCCATTTCGAAAAGCATCTCAAAACAGGACAGTGTAATTGAAGTGGCACACTTACACCCTACGAGCAACACATAGGGCAAAAAGTCTGCGGAGTATGGATCTGTACTTAGCACCGAAATCACAGATCAAAAAGCGGTCTGGAAGATTACAAATAACAGCTGCATTGCTATCTTCTAGATGAGTGTGTTTACTTGCTAGCTTGTCTCGAACATAACTCTTCCTAGGACCCCACGACCTCACACGAAGCTAAAATTTGGTCCATAATCAAATGCTAAGTAAAAGGATTCTGTACAAAAAATGAGGGGGAATAAATGCAAGAACAAGTTTTACACACATTGGATGGAGAGAAAGTTTGCTTGCGGGAATAATAAATCGACGATGACAATTAAATGGCTCTAATTATGTTGGTATTAATAATATAGAAGTTCCCCATAGAGCAACCTTTGTGCATCATAAATCGACAATGGCAGCACGTGACGTGAGTCGGTAGAGCTAAAGACACCACTAGCAAATAGGGTGAGCCCACCTCCGTTGTTGGTTCTAGAGTCAGTTTGAGTGATGGTGATTACGGGAACAAGATTGTCCAGCAGCGTGGTGGTAAGATTTTGAACCTTGAAATAGAGGCCGGGGGCCTCGAAAGCGGCCCTTTGAGCCCGTAGCTGCCAGCCCGTCAGATCGGCCAGAAGTCGGGAGTGAGTGTAGGGGTAGTGGTAGGCAATGTAGCACACATCACCTCGGTGTTTAAATTGCAGACTGAAAGTAGCCGTGTAGTAGTTACGGGAGAAACAGTTTCCTCCTGTTCAAAAACAAGGACATTTGGGTTGAAGCAATACACGCCAATCAATTGTCAGCAGAATTTATGCACTCCATTTGTGGACGAATCTAAATGCTGCCCTCTGTAGTTGGATGCGCAAACTCCACGGTATGCCTGTGTGACATTATGGGGTGCCACATTGTGGGTTCACAGTAGCCAGGCAACAGAATATTTCTAGGTTCTCCTACCATTGTAACAACCAAACTAATCGTCACCCAAGTTCTTGATTCAAATGTGGGAAGATTGATTTTAAGGCTAAGAATGCTTGATAATGAAATTTTAATCGTAAATCTTAAACTAATTGAACTCACGTCGTTACAACAGCATATGCAAATATGGACAGGACAAGCAGAAATTTACAATTGATAGTTAAATTGAAGCAATAAAAGGGACAAGATCATTCACAATGAAACAAATTAACCCACTGATTAAAGATCTGTTGCGCAGAAAGTGGTTTTTGTAGTACTTAATGCTGTCGCCAGCCCGAATCCAATACGGACGGCCCTCGACTGCCTCTTTCACCGAGAATACTACTGGTTGCATACCTAAAAGGGAGGTAACCAATAGGCTGAATATGCAATGAATGCATTCTATTGTTAGTATGTACTATGACAGTCAAATTAAAATACAAACTCGGTACTTAAGTAAAAAAATGAATTGACTATGCCATAGCTGGACATGCCGACAAAGTCAACTAAGGTAAGGCGGAAGGCCAAACAAAATTGATCTACAGACTTGATTATTGCGTAAATAAGCATAAAAAAGAAGTCAAATATTACAATTCATGTGATACTTTGGAAACAGATTGGATGGGTTTGAATACGCCAGTTAAAAGCCTTCGGCTTCCGATCTAACGTGATTTGATTTTAAAATTAGGTGTTTTAGTTCTGGCTAAAGCAAAGGAGTGACTTCATACTGGCGGGCACTTGAAAACTCCAGTACTTATTTTTGGTATAAAGAAATTACACTACATTGACATACCTCCATTGTACTGACTTTCAGGCTTCTCCAAATTAATAATGTTGAATCGATAGCGGCACATACTGTCGATGTTGCACACGCGAAAGTAGAACCACTGAATATGGGATCGTGTATTAAGGTCTGGTGACAGTATGAGGTCGTATTCGTTTTGCCTGACCTAATAGGAAGTTGTTTGAGACAGACAAGTTTAAAAGATTCTAGTCTTTATTGGAAAACCAACCTGGATAACCTTCCTTAGATTCCCACTTTCGAATCGGGACTCGAATTGAAGGTGTCCCATCTCGTAGTCAAATTTCCCAAGCCTGTTTGTGTGTGAAATTAAATTAACTTCATTAGAAGATATGGGGAACGAGGCTATTTGCCAAGACAATTGTGTGGAAACAGTGAGACATGCTCAATTCTTGCAAACACGATCGCAAAAACACACGTTCAAGTTGCGGTACACACACTCACAAGAATTCGTCCGAGTTGCTAAGGAAAGACTGCGAGAGTTGTGGCTCTTGGGGCCACGGTGGATGCGTAATAAGGGCGTCAAGGTCGAATACTACGCGATCGATGATGTCATCGGCGTCCACGATGCGCCGCACATCGTCCAACACCTCGGTGTGGCACAGCCCGTGAAGTGAGAAGGGCGCCGCTTCGGATTGGGTGGTTCGCAGCAAAGTAGCTGGTGGGGAGCAGCGAAGAGGCTCAATGAGATAGAACCAACAATTTTTTAGTCTGTTTTATGCCGCATAAGACTACTAATGATGAAAGGCAGACCTGGTCATCTTTCACGTTTTGATAAAAAAAACCCACAAAATACATGGTATTTAATTAAAATACGAAGTGAAAGAGTTCAGAAGAGAGCAAAAGTATACGTAATTTTAATAGGCTTTGTAGTTTGTTTGTTACTTTAGTGAGTTGCTGAAGATTTAATAGGACAAAAATGAGTCGAGTGGCTCAATTTTGAAACGCACACAATTCGCTCGACCGAGCGCAGCTATGGACACCGCCTATTGATCACCGAATTGTGAGGCTCCAAAACGGGCATACAAACCAATAAGCATTTACGCGATGCATTCATTAAATCAAAAAAGTGCCTTAAATTAGCCCAACACCCAGGGGTAAAGGTTTGAAAATCAAACAAGGCCCTGTAGCCAAGACCTAATATAAAGGCATAAATAAGTAATTTCTTGAGGGAAAATGATCAGAAATAAATGAATAACCCTGTAATTGCTGAAAAGCCTTAAAAACTAACAAGACCTACTGGAGTCGATGTCCAGAGTGGAGTCACTTTCTGTAGAAGGTGGAACCATGACTTGTCGCAAGGACAGGAATTGTGATGGGTCAAGGTGTCCTGAGTGGAAGGGTTCAGGAAAGGGCGGGCCTGAGGCGTTTATGAGGTCCGGATAAGCAACCAACTTTTCAGGCTGTCGAATGGCATGGTCGAGGAGGCCGTAGACGTGACGCGCTGCCACCAGGTACTTGGACGCCGCCGAATCTGCTTCTTTTGCGCTAGATAGCATATCTGGCAGAAGGGGGGAGATGTGGGTCAACGTGAATACTTCATGAAAATCGAGTTGAGAATAGGTAAGCCTTGCTCATGACATGTTTGTAGGAAGAAGTGGTGGGACGCTACTTGTACATTTACATGTTTGTTCTTATGATAAAATCTGTAGGAAAAGAGCGGTGTAGTCACAGATACAATGTCAAAACCTAACAAAAAAGACAATTCAAAAGCAAAGTACCCGTATTCGCCAGGCTAAAAGCATGAAGATGCATATTGAAGTATTAAACTTAAGAACTATTTCTTTGACCAGGCCCTCCAGCGCATCTCAGCACTTATGATTGACGGAGACGGTGTCAACTCGCATTTTCAAAATCTTTATGCTGACATGGCCTTACGCTGCAGTCTGATTGAATAAAATGCAAAGAGCCTTCACAGGAAAAGAGCGACTGCAAAAGAGGCTGACTAGCCTTTAGGCATCAAATTATTTTGGTAATCAGGATTCTGATTTGGTGTTTTTAGGTCTGTGAATATTCCTCATTTGCAGAGTGCAAACTGCTCTGTGTAAGGACTTCTCCATAGGATTTTGTTCACTGACACTTTAGTGACACATTACATTTGTGTGTATACTGACATACATAGTCAAAAAACAAAGCACATGTGCTGGTACGGTATAAACGGGCGTGTTGACCTCGCCGTGAAGCCTTTTAACCATTGTCATTATTCTTGAATGCAAAGGTCGCTGATGTAAAAAAGGGTCATAAAGAGGCCTTGCTAGTGGTTACAGTGTGTTCTCTGGGCTATAACGTAGAGAAATGTATGGAGTCTTAGAACTCCAAAATAGAAGCACAAGTGATTTAATTTTTTTAGACCTTAATAAACAACTATTTAAACCTATTCGATTAATCGAAATTTTGAATAATTGCTTTACCAAGGATAGGCAATCCCCTGACACTTTTTCATAATTCCTTAAGTCTAGCAATTGGCAAATCCAATTTGCACAAGTTCAGTAAAGGCCACCTACAAGTGCCTCCATTCCTTCTCTGCTTTCATCTGTCTTATTTTGCCAACTTCACTTATAAGCGGGTGAAGGCAGAATCCAAGTTCTAGTTGCCTACCTGTTAATGGTTGTCGATTGTAGGTAAGTAATGCAGGACAAGAAAATACGAACAGCAGCACCGGTTTAGGCGTAAGCCATCCAGGGACTCAAAATGACTAACAAAATCACACTATAATAGATAAAAAGGAAAACTTACACTCAAAAATTGAATCTTTTGAAGTATTTACAGTTGATCCTTTCGGAAGCCTTGAATGACCGATCTGATGGAGTAAAAAGGAGGTGAGTAGATAACTTAAAGTGAGAGGTTAAGTCTAACAATTCGATCCACCTCTGGGTATAATTTTTGGCTACCGTAAGGGCTGAAACTTAAATACAATGGTTATAAGAAGTGAAAACCTGAATACGGACGAAGAAGTTACCAGAGTGGGTTTTAAATACCCAGGGTAATTTCAGGCCTCATTCTTTCAAGTTTTATTGATTACTAAACTTAGCATTAGATAGATTAGAAAATCTAGCCATTAACTATTATACGTTCAAATGAATTCAATCAAATTTAAATTTTTCTGTGAGTAACATGTCACGGGCCATTATCCAACTGAGACCGGTTAAGCGAATTCCAACAATGCAACAGCAGCAATCAGCAAACGGAAAATCCGTCATGGTCATTGACCTCGTAGGTATGCGACCCACTTGCAAATGATATTTAAGGATCAGATTATCTATATCCAAACACATTAATATTTTCAAAAACATTTTGCAGTTGCTCAACAGCTAGGTCTTTTATTTAACTTTTCTGCGTGTGTGAACCCTGCTTTTTATAGTTGCTCGTCTGTTCCTCACAACTTTGCAAATAAACTCACCGAAGGCACATCGTCCCATTCGGGGAAGAATTTTCCATGGCTTTCCATCAGTTCAACCAGTCCGAACGTCGTCCCCAATTCGTTTATTTGGTCAACAAGGTCCGGCGTCGTGAAATCACTACTGTCTCCATCTAACATTTCTTCATCATCTTCATCCTCCTCTTCTTCTTCCTCATCCTCTTCCTCCTCATCATCTTCAACATCAATGCTCTCAGTACATTTTTCGTACATCTTATATTCCTTCCTGCGCTCCTGTCCATCTAAAACTCCTTCTGAGTTATTGGCCGTCGCAATCTTTCCAAGGTCTCTATCAAAGCAAAACAGTAAAAAAGTTAGCTGCTCCAAACTTTCTCGAAATTTTAGCATTCTTAAGAGAAGTACACAGCCGAGAATTATTGCTCGGGAGGTCTTAAAGTTAGTATGCATTTTCAGGTTACGAAAAATATTTGAAACATTTTTAAACTAGACCACTTTACCAGAGAGATAATCACTTGGCGGGTTGATCCATCTTTCAAAAATGCAATAAATGCTTGGTCAAATTTTCACGAGAATCCCCGAAAACATGCTGGCAACGATGCTCTTTGGTAAGGCAACAAAACCGCTTCTAGCTTTAGAAGAATCTTCTAATATGATTTGTATGCCAGTGTTATACTCGTACAAATAGCAAAGGTCTAGTGTGCCTGGAATAATTCAATTTCGCAATTAGTTGGTGATTCGAACGATTAGATTTAAAAACACGAAGAAGTTAGTTTCCTGGAAGGCGGTTTTGTAGCAAGTCAGGTATTAGTAAAAATAGCTGTGTAAAAATCCACTACCTAAAAACCCATGCATATATTACACACTTCTACGATTTGAAAATTAACAAAGTGCAGTTCAAGTGTTGTGGATGCCGAAACTACATAAACGCGGTCTAATGCAATTGGTCATTAATGGAATTAGAATGAACATCCATTTTTCAGTTACATCTGATTGTCGTAAAAATATTAGTTTAGTTAATTTTGCTTTTGCGAACTTGTTGTGGCAAGACCGCACGAAGAGGAGGCGAGACAACCGTCTGTTAGACGTTTTAAGCGAGTTGTCACCGTATTTTCCGACACACTGCCCTCCTTTTCACAGCATGCCCACCAATCGTGTGGACAGCCTCTTACTCATCCGGCCATTCAGCCATTTGTACTTTTAATTGCTCATTCAAGCTGCATGTGGGTCAACAGCTTCATGGCATCCACGACTTAGCCCACATACACGGACACGACAGCAGAACTAGGCTGAGCCATCTGGTGGGCGGTCGGGTCTCGGCCATGTCGGATCCTAATGATGCTAATACGATGCGACGGCTCCGGTGTGGTTCGAGAGTACATGCCGGCGCCCCCAACAAACTGTGTAAAAACACCAAGGTAAAAGGCCCATGTGACTGCGAAGCAGTCGGTCCCGAAGTTTGCATCAATGTCGAAGTCTGTTAACCTCAACAAAGATGGCGGCAGTTTCAAGAATGGTGCAAACGTAAACCATTCACCCACCTTGAAAACCCTGCTTTCTTAATAAATTAAATAACAATGGTGCATTAGTGACGAAAAGGAACCTTAGCACTAGTGCTTGCAGATGCTGTCCTAATATTCAACAGAAAGAATACGTGATTTTGTTTATACCTTAGGAGAGGATTGGGTGTTTTCTGTTTCTGCGTAGCGAGAGATGGTGCCGGCGTTGGTTTCTGTTGATCCCTGTTAGGGAATTTGGCATTCTACGAGGCAACACAAGGTCTATTACGTCTTCAGCGCGCTATTAGAACAGTTCGTTAAACAGAAGAACTTCATTTATTTCAGTGTGGCTAAAACTGTATTTAAGTCAACCTACTTAGAAAGGTAAGGGTAAACGAAACATTGTGGGTGAGACGCTTAATTGCGACACACACTCAAAGGCGTATTACGGGGAGAGTGTTCCCAGCTCGGAAGTTGTACTTTTGGGACTTGCATATTGGAAAAGCGTTTCGGAAAATAACGACGTTTTCGATGCTGGTGATATTGCCCAGAATGTTTACAAATTTTACCACTGTAGATCACATTTAAACATCTCAGGGACAATAACTTTAACACGAATGAGGCCCTGACAGATATCCAACTGGGTCCTACCGTGGTTAGTGAATGGCCTGCTAAATTTTAACGAAAATTAACAAACCACTAACATATGCTAAAGACGAAGGAGTGTCAACTATTCCTATCAATTTGGCCGCATTTAAACAAGGAGGAAATGCCAACTAGACTTCTTATTCCTGCTGAAAGCACCAAATCGATCAGAGGTCTGCTACGTAAGATGTAAGATCCTTGAAAAAATTAAAGAGGCTGCAGCGTAGAACATTGCCTTTTTTACAACCCATAAGATCAGAGGAAATACCATGCGACTAGGACCCAACCTCTTATTCGTGAGCGGATACACTTTAGCGACGTGTGGGAACTGATGAGGAGGCATTAATGGTCGAGATCATAATGCAAA